TACATAGAAATATATAGGAAAATTCTTTAAAAATCTTCTTCTCAAGAATGACCAAGTCATAATTCATCATATTAATATGAAAGCATCCCCAGGTAGTGTAGTTTCAAGTTTGTTCAAATCATGACCCCCGGGGGTAGGGCGGGGCCAAAATGGCATACCAAAGTTTTACATAGAAATATACAGGAAAATTCTTTAAAAATCTTCTTCTCAAGAATGACTAAGCCATAATTCATCATATTTATATGGTAGCATCCTCAGGTAGTGTAGTTTCAAGTTTGTTCAAACCATGACCCCCGGGGGTAGGGCGGGGCCAAAATGGCATACCAAAGTTTTACATAGAAATATATAGGAAAATTCTTTAAAAATCTTCTTCTCAAGAAAGACCAAGTCATAATTCATCATATTAATATGAAAGCATCCCCAGGTAGTGTAGTTTCAAGTTTGTTCAAATCATGACCCCCGGGGGTAGGGCGGGGCCAAAATATCCGACCAAAGTTTTACATAGAAATATACAGGAAAATTCTTTAAAAATCTTCTTCTCAAGAATTTCAAAGCCATAATTCATCTTATTTATATTAAAGCATACTCAAGTTATGTAGATTCATGTTTGTTTAAATCATGACCCACGGGTGGGGCGGGGGCAAAATGGCCGACCAAAGTTTTACATAGAAATATATAGGAAAATTCTTTAAAAATCTTCTTCTCAAGAATGACCAAGCCATAATTCATCATATTTATATGGAAGCATCCTCAGGTAGTGAAGATTCAAGTTTGTTCAAATCATGACCCCTGGGGTAGGGCGGGGCCAAAATGGCCGACCAAAGTTTTACATAGAAATATACAGGAAAATTCTTTAAAAATCTTCTTCTCAAGAATGACCAAGCCATACTTCATCATATTTATATGGAAGCATCCTCAGGTAGTGTAGTTTCAAGTTTGTTCAAATCATGACCCCCAGGGGTAGGACAGGGCCAAAATGGCCGACCCAAAGTTTTACATAGAAATATATAGGTAAATTTTTTAAAAATCACCTTCTCAAAGATAGAAAATCCATGCTTGTTCTTGGGACTACTTTTGGATTTTACTTTTTCAATAATAAACCAATTTATACTTTTACTAGCCACAGTGCTCAGGTGAGCGGTGTGGCCCATGGGCCTCTTGTTACATTTTATAGCTTTATTAGCTCACCTGAGCCAAAGGCTCAAGTGAGCTTTTCTGATCAAAATTTGTCCGTTGTCTGTCGTTGTCGTCGTCGTTGTTGTCGTCGTAAACTTTTCACATTTTCATCTTCTTCTCAAGAACCACTGGGCCAATTTCAACCAAACTTGGTACAAAGTATCCTTGGGTGAAGGGGATTCAAGTTTGTTCAAATGAAGGACCAGACCCTTTTCCAAGGGGAGATAATTATGAATTAGCGAATAATTAATGGCATGTTTAAAAAATCTTCTTCTAAAGAACCACTGGGCCAGGAAAGATGGCACTCATGTGGGATCATCCTCAGGTAGTGTGGATTCAAGTTTGTTCAAATCATGACCCCAGGGGGAAGGGTGGGGCCAAAATGGCCGATCAAAGTTTTACATTGAAATATATAGGAAAAATCTTTAAAAATCTTCTTCTCAAGTACTACTGGGCCAGGAAAGATGAAACTCATGTGGGATCATCCTCAGGTAGTGTAGATTCAAGTTTGTTCAAATCATGACCCCCGGGGGTAGGGTGGGGCCAAAATGGCGGATCAAAGTTTTACATAGGAACATATAGGGAAACCTTTTAAAATCTTCTTTTCAAGTACTGCAAAGTTATGATTTGTGATATTTATATGGAATCATCCTCAGGTAGTGTAGATTCTTGTTTGTTCAAATGATGCACGCCTGGGGGGGGTGGGGGTGGAGTAAATTCAAGCCTGATGTGCTCAGGTGAGCGCTGTGGCCCCTGGGCCTCTTGTTTAAGTATATTAGGTATTTATTGGCTTAGAATCATCAAACTTTGTGAGATGATGCTTCTTAGGTTTTCATGAGAATGACGACCCAAAAGTAGGTCACAGTGACCTATTTTTAACATTTTATGGTCTTTTTTAAGTATCTACAGTACTTATTGGCTCAGAATTATCAAACTTTGTAAGTTGATGCATCTTGGGTTTTTGGAGAATGAGGTCCAAAAAGTAGGTCATGGTGACCTTCTTTTGACATTTTATGGCTTTATTTAAATATCTATGGTAATTATTGGCTTAGAATCATCAAACTTTATGAGTTGATGCGTCTTGGGTTTTCGGAGAGTGACAACCAAAAAGTATGTCACAGTGACCTACTTTTTAGACGGTGGCTATTTATAGCCACAGGCTATTGCTGCTGGTATGGGCACACAGTGTAAACACACGGGGACCCTAGCGGCGATTTTTGCAGAGTCAAAATAATGAAAGTAGACTAGTGTCGATGTTTGAAAATAAAATGTTCATAATCAACAGATACTTTCACGTTTTTTCAAAGACATTTCGTTGATAGACACAAAGCGTAATTCCTGATATTCGCGTTATCAATATTTCTCACCTCATGAATATTCATTGAATTACACCAAACTCCAACTAACTCGTACACCAACCGACTCGTATATTCGTATGCAAACAACAGAAGCCAATTTGTTCACAATCTTTTCCTTTTTTTCGCTCACATGTGCGATTCGAACACACATTTTGTTAGTTTAAAATTACAAAGATATTTAGTCAGAATATTTAATGAAAAATATCTGTAGATAATTGTTTCACTTTCTAACTCCAAAATCAAATGATTATAATTGCTAAACAATACACGCGCGACTGTTTCTTAAATACTATTTTGTGGAATTTTTATACAATGAAACTTAAATATTTTGTTGTAATTTAACTAAGTCTTTTGATTGTTTGGATTTCTTATATCTTTTTACAATCCTATATTAGGAAAACAAATACATGTATTTTAGGAAAGAAGAAAAAAGTTAACATCTCAATCAGTTAATAAAAAGGGTTGTTGTAGGTATATACCGGTACGATGCCATAACATAAAAGTTTACCCTTTAAAAGTGTACGAAAAGCGGAATACTACTTGTTTTGGGATTTTCATGCGATTTTAGTGGGCTGAATTAAGTCTTCTGCGTGTGTTCACAAAGATATATGCATTGCGCAATGACTTGCGGGGTCATTGCGTATTATAGTATTACGTATGAGAAATAGCATCATCGCAGACCACGGCCAAAATGTACGATCCTCTCCCATTTTAGAGAGCTTCATATATAATTATATACATGTATATACACAGACTCCGACCGTGATTTGATGTGTCGCAGCAATTGCTAGCCAGAAAAATATTCCTCGCTGCTCAAAAGGATGACTGCACTTAGGGATCTGCGAAATTTGCGTTAAAATAATCTTTCAAAACGGAAACTTTTCATTTAACTACAGGAAAGATCAACAAATTCCGTCACGTGACATATAGGTAGCACATTTTAGCTAACTAAAACACTGTTCTCGAACACGCTAAATAGTCAGCCAAAATAAATAGGAAGATGGAAAGTAGAGGTCTTGTATTTTTTAATACATGTTATTGTTGTTCGTGCAGTCTAATATTAGACTAATTCTTACGATATAATTTAATTTAGATTGTATTCTAGTATCTCATCAGTTGATTTCCAGAAACGCAAATTATTTCTCAATAACCTTGTTTAGTATGGGGACACACCCCCCTTGACAACCAGCTGAATCATCTGTATCCATGCAATTCTCATTTCCAGTCCTCGGGATTCATGGAAAATTCCAGATTTAATAAATGTGCCTTTAACTTCAAACTGTAGCTCGTTATGTATCAGTTATTACCTCCCCTTGTTTCTAATCACTTCCGTTATTGAGCGGCAAATTTGAACTCATAAAAAGCAGCACCCGCAAAGCGGATTAGAAAGCGTAAACTGACCCAAACCAGGTTATGTTCGAATAATTTGGCCATGAATTAGAGTCATTCCTAAAATGTTAGCTCCGCCTCTCATACACAAATAATGTTCAATCAAGGACAGGTACGAGTAAATGATCTGTATTTGGAAAACTGCAAGGACAAAAATATGAAATTATCGGTAGTTATTTCATTACAGTCAAAAATAATTTTTAACAGTTGAATTGGGTGTCTAATAGACAGACCACTGTAATAAATATATAACAGTAAACTTAGGTTAAGATTTAAAAGCAATAGAAGCGACCAAAAAGACCAAAAACACAGTGTTAAAGGGGGAGGAAATAAGCACCTCCTTCCCGCACCTCAGATCTCCAGATTTCCGCATTATTCCGCATTTTTTCCTCATTTTAATATGGAAAAAATGTGGAAAAAAATACGGAGAAAATTAACAATTACGGAAAAGCAGAAAATATACGGAAATAATCCGGAAAATAAACGGAAATAATATGGAGAATTGGACTTAGTCTATTTTTCATCTGGAAAAATATTGAACTCTTAACTTAGAATATTTTTCATCCGGAAAAAATACGGAGCTCTGGACTTAGAATTTTTTCATCAAGAACAAGATGTGTTTGTGAGACACAGTAGCACCTGGCGGCAACATTAAGTTCTAAAAAGCAATTTTTAGCAAATGGGTCTCAGTCAAGGCCACACAATCATTGTTCTTGGTGTCATTTGAAAGCACTTTATTAGTGTAGTATGCATACCAAATATTAAGTCTCTATCATCTATGGTTCAAAAGTTATGGCGAAAATTCGAAAATATATTTAGCACATAGGTCACAGTCAAGGTCACAAGGTCATTGATCTTGGTGTCAGTTGAAGGTGCCTAATTAGTGGAGTATGCATACCAAATATGAAGTCTCTATCTCTCACGGTTTTAAAGTTATGGCGAAAGTTCGAAAAAGCTATTTTTAGCATATAGGTCACAGTCAAGGTCACAGACCTTGGTGTCAGTTGAAAGTGCCTAATTAGTGGAGTATGCATACCAAATATGAAGTCTCTATCTCTCACCGTTCAGATGTTATGGCAAAAGTTCCAAAAAGCTATTTTTAGCATAAAGGTCACAGTCATGGTCACAAGGTCATTGACCTTGGTGTCAGTTGAAAGTGCCTAATTAGTGGAGTATGCATACCAAATATGAAGTCTCTATCTCTCACGGTTCAGAAGTTATGGCGAAAGTTCGAAAAAGCTATTTTTAGCATAAAGGTCACAATCAAGGTCATAAGGTCATTGACCTTGGTGTCAGTTGAAAGTGTTTTTGTAGTGGAGTATCCATACCAAATATGAAGTCTCTAAGTCTCACGGTTCAAAAGTTATGGCGAAGGTTAAAGTTGACAACAGACAAACAAACAGACAGACATACAGCTAAACAGACAGACAGGACAAAAACAATATGCGCCCCCCAAAAAATTGGGTGCATAAAAACTGTCTTGGAGTTAACAGCAGTTCTCTGTTTCTCTTGAATGTTATGTACAATTTGATCGGGATCGGAAGAATGTTTCAAAAAGTCGGGCTCAGTGATCAATTAATTTAAACAACAGACCGCCAAAATTTAACCTTGGCCTCCATGTTGCAACGTCTGCTCTGTCTAAAGGAAGAAGTTTGTTGACCAGACAGCCTGAGATCGTATTGCTGTACCAACCAAAAGATGCAGATACACGTATTTCATATGCGGTAGGTCAGTCATATTTTTTTTAACATGTGTGTCACTGTGATGATGAAAATAAATACTCTAGGCCTAGGACTGAGCTACCAGGCTATGTACGTTTCAGCCAATATGCCCATGATTCAAATCTTTCAATCAGCTCATAGAATTTTATTATGGTTAACCACAATTAAAGGTGTTAATTTTGGGGAGCCATGGGCTGTAATCTCTAGCAATGATTTACCATACATTTTTTTTTGGTAGCGTCTGTGCATGAGGAGGAGATTTCTGAAAAAGAATAAGTGCTTATTCAACTTACTGCGATTTTAACGGGCTTAAAGCTTGGTCCATGGATGGTTATGTTTGAGGTATATATATTCTTTTATTTCTTTTTTTATTGCTTGTTTAATTAAAAACAGTCAACTATGATTTGTCATTATTATAAATAATATTTTAAACAAATTGATATTAAATTGAAGAACCCAAACTTGTGTTTATAAAAAGATTTTAAAAGGAATAAAAGCAATGAATTTAAATATTATTAATATTGCACCATTATGATTTAAGAACTTTTTTTTTAATTGATAGGATTTGACAATTCGACCGCAAGTGCTGCTGCAAGAAATTAAACATGCAGAGACCTTACAAATTACAAAGAAGTCTGAAGAAAATTTTTATTGGACAGATGGGTGTAAAGCACAGACCTGAGATATAAATTGAATTGTGAGAAATATGAATCAGGGATGCAGGTAGAAAATGGCAAATGTGATCCAGATTGATAAAAAATGTCTAAAATTTTTTCTTGTTTTGTAAATATTCAATGCTATGTCAATTGTTATTTTTTCCCCAATACCTAATAGTGTTGAACATTTCACTCCCACTTTTGCTTAAATAGAATGAATAAATTTCCATTTATTTAATATGAATATTAAAAAATGCCACATTTTTTCCATGATGAACTTGTGGCTTAAATAAGAGTTCCAGTTTTTTTTCCATACATGCTCCTATTTGTTTGTCAAAGATATAAGATCCAATACATTGCTCATGAACATAATGTGTAATTTTGTTCATTCATTTATATGTTTTTTTCTCATAATGATATAATAAATTGTATATAATTTTGCACATTGTTAATGGTTTTGTAAATATTTATGTATGTATGCATCATGTAGCGGTTTTATTAGCCATTTTATAACCATGTGATTAACTCCGTATTTTCTCCAGATTTCCGTATTTCCGCATTTTATCAACCAAGTAAATACCTCCATATTTTGTATATATGGAAATGCGGAAATCTGGAGAGAATACGGAAAAAGAGTCCAAATACTCCCATCCACATTTTCTCCATATTTTGAATACGGAGAAAATCTGGAAATTTGAATACGAAGAAAATCTGGAATGAATGCGGAAAATTAGTCCAAATACTCCCGTCCGCATTTTTTCCTTATTTTGAATAAGGAAAAAATGTGGAGATCTGAGGTGCGGGTTTAAATTTACCTGGTCTTAGAACTCATGTCAATCATCTGAAATTAAGCCTGGGATTGGATACTTTGATTTGATTGACATTTAGTTTGCTGCTGTTGTGTATATTTTGTGTACCTTGTCTGGAGATCGTACCGACCATCAAATTAACTTTCAGGCTTTTGATGCCTACCGCACTTGATAAAGAAACAATCAAATCGTTCTTTTCCTTTTTAATTCATAAAAATATGCCATATATAATCTATCTATCAAATAATTAAATAAATGACAAGAAAAATCATGGCTATATAATATATATTAAAAATTTAATTTTAAAAGGGAGGATTTCATATCACGATTACAATCGATAATTTTAATTTCCGTGTCAAAACATGAGTTAAAGTACA